TTTTCTTTATTTTTTTTTACCTCAAATTCTAGTTCATATACAGAAACATCCATGCATCAATTCCTAAACCATTTCCTCACTTTTTCCAAATTCCATTTATTTGAAATCCACTGAACTCAGAAACCAACTAAAGCATGCAAACTCATTTTTTTGGTTGATTTTTCTTTGTTAAATAGCATTTAAATATATAAAATAAATATCAAAAATATAAGTCTTTGTTTTACCATGGTTGCAAATATCAAAAAATTTCTATATGTGACACGACACCAGAATTAAGTTAGGGTTTTTCAAAATGCAGACACGTGGAGCTCAAAAGGTTTGCCATCACTGAACTAAAGGCTTCCTCCTACGCCCATGTAACATTGCCTGAGCCATGTTCCTCGGTAGTGAACATCCTTGGAAAGACTGTAGTAAAAGCTCTCCAGGTAGTCTCTTAGGGGTGACCTTGGCTAGTGTCAGAAAGCAATGTAAGGATGAGGCTTCCCTGAGAGCAGAGAGCTTGTTTCAAAGAATCCAAAGAAAAACAAATAAAGAGAAACACATGCTCACCTTCAAACCTGGACACCTTCCTTGAGAGTATACTACACTTTAAAAATGTTTGTTACATATTTTAAGAACTGTCATCATTGTCACAGTCTAATTGTTAATAATAGAACTAATAGCCACACACTAAATGCTTTTCACAATATATCTCCTAAAATCCTTCCAATGGCCTATGTGATATGGACTATCATGTTTCATAGAGGAGAAGGTCACACAGTTTAAATAACTGATGCAACATTACACAGCTCGTAAGCGGCAGAACTGGAGTTGAATTCAGCTCCATCAGCCACAAGTACATGCTCCATAAACCTTAAAACATACAAGCACATGCACCCCCGTGCACACCCACAGTTCCGTGGGTCTCAATCCTGGCTTCAGGCGGGGGAGAAGCACCTGGGGAAGACTTTGTAAACTCCCAGTGCTCAGGCTCTACTTCCAGAGACACTGGTTTCTCTGGTTTGTGGGTAGGGCTCAATATCCATAGGTGTTAAAAAAAGCCCTCAAGTGAATCTAAAGAGTAGTCTATTGATCTAGGCCTTTCCTGCCTAGAATTGAGTGCAGGCCTGCAGCGACTTCTGGCCTTTAAAAAAAATTACTGCAAATATTACGATGCCCCTCCTTGTATCTTCATCTTGCACTATCCAATTGCACCTAATTCTTGCAGTTCATATAAAATTCCCTGATTATCTAACAAAATGTTCTCCAAAATGAACAAGCAAACAAAATTGAAACAGACTCATAGATGCAAAGAGAGGACTGCTTGTTGCCAGAGGAAGAAGGGAGTGGTAAACTGGGTGAAAGAGATGAAGGGATTAAGAAGTACAAATTGGTTTTTAAAAAAATTGGTAGTTACAGTCATGTGGATGTAAAGTATAGCATATATGAATATCCAGCCAATAATATTGTAATAACCATGTAAAGTGCCAGGTAAGTATTGGGGGAACACTTTTTAAAGTATATGATTATCTAACCACTATGCGGTACACCTGAAACCAGCACAAGATAATATCAAAGGTAAACAGTAGTTGAAAAATAAAAAATAAAGAAATAAACCAAAAAAAGAATAAAGTGGCTCTTAATCCTAAATCAATCAATCAATAAATATATAAACAATGTTTTCTTAGAATAGATTCACAACTGTACCAAATGCACCACACTTGGGAAAGGTGTTAATGATGAGCATGCTGAGTTACTTGGGAAAATCTGTATTTTCTACTCAACTTTGTTGGTGAGCTTTAAACTGCTCTAAAAAATTAAGTTCATTGAGAAATGTGTGCATCAGTCATCCTCCAAGTACATACTGTTTTAGGCTCAGCAGATTCAGCATTTGCCAGACAGAGCAAACCCCATCTCAGCAGTCCACAGTATAAAACATAAAAGGTTACCTTAGAGCAAACTCTCCCAGGCCAAAGGGACTTTTTCTTTGCTTATTTTTACAACTTGTGGAAGAAAACGTTTAGTTCTTAGGAAGCCCAGGACAGTCAGCTACACAGCTGCGGGCTGGCTTCCCGAGCTTTCAAACACGTGGCAGCGTCCATGTTTCCCTCCCCAGGGCTGCCACCAATATAATGCTGTTGCCATGCAAGCCAGACACAGGAAAGATCTGCTATCACCCAGCGTCTGCCCACCTGTCCCAGCCCGCTGTCGACATTGTTTTAGTCTGTACCTTTTATGTTTTGGAGAGCTCTCTTCACACAGAACAAGAGCACAAGTTCTCACCTTCCCTTGCCAAGTCCTTCCAGGTCAGTGGTTCTCAGCCTCAGCTACACATTGAAATCACCTTGGAAGATTTAAAAAAAAGAGAGACAGGAAAAAAAAAGACTCTCTGGCCCCCCAGCTGAGATTCTGATTGACTTGGTCTGGGCATGCGTAGTTGGCCACGCTTCCCAGGTGATTCTAATGTACAGCCAAGGTTGCAAAGCACGGGACTCAGAGAATCCTTGAGGTTCACGCAGACTCCAGAAGAGAGTGGTTTCTATCTCATAAAAAGTTTTAAAGAAATTTAGCTCTTCCCCTGCCTCCTCTTCCCCAGTACACACAGGGTGGTTCTAGGAAACATTCTTTCAATGTATTCCCCAATTTTCATACGTATGTACTAAGCACCTGCAATGTGTAAGCTGGGTGTTGAGAAACAGCAGATGCTGCCATCAAAGAGCTCAGTATACAAAGCTTCCTCAACCCACACATCTCTAATACAAAGCACTAAGTTATAGGGTCACTTATAGAGTCACAATTTATGCTTGTAGTTTGGACAGACTCCATTTGACAAGCCTTTGCCCTGGCTCAGGGGCTGTGCCAGCCAGAAAAAGGAAAGGGAGTGTGTCTGTAATTCACCCAGATGTGCCCCACATGCTAGGTAGGGCCCTGGCCTCATGCAGAATGACCCACACTAGGCGATAGCACCGTGCCTGGCATATTTGTCTAGTGGCTAAAAAAGGCTCCACAGAAGTGTTCACAAGAGAAGATTAATTCTGGCTAGAGAGATGAGGTCCAGCAGGGCTTAAGAGAAGACATTTGGGCTGAAACTTAAATATATGCCCAGTGAAAATACAGGGGGCAAGCTTTCCCCAAAAATGGGTTGAGCTTCAGAGTGAGAGTGGACATTTGAGGAGTTTCTCTCCACAAGAGTCCATCTGGGAGGGGGTGCATGAAGCAGGCAAGGGGAAAGTGGTGAGGAGCTTACTACGGACTAAGGTCTTTTACCCACTGGGAAGCAGTGGGAGAATTTTCAGCTAATATGGAACACAATCAGTTCTTGGTTTTTTATTATTTTTAAATGTATTTTTATTGATTTCAGAGGAGAAGGGGAGAAGGGGAGAAGGCGAGAGAGAGAGAGCGAGAGAGAGAGAGAGAAGAGAAGAGAAATATCAATGATGAGAATCATTGATCAGCTGCCTCCTGCATGCCCCACACTGGGGATCAAGCTCACAAACTCAGGCTTGTGCCTTCACCAGGAATAGAACCATGACCTCCTGGTTCATAGGTCAATGCTCAACCAGTGAGCCACACCAGAGAGCAGATCTTAGTTTTTTAAATTACTAGTACACTGGAGGCTAGGGTGACAAAGGGCCCAGGGGACATTGGGTAAAGACACCAACAGCCACCACACACTGAAGTCAGAGCTCCAAAGGCCCTAAGGCAGTGGTTCTCAACCTTCTGGCCCTTTAAATACAATTCCTCATGTTGTGACCCAACCATAAAATTATTTTCGTTGCTACTTCATAACTGTAATGTTGCCACTGTTAGGAATCGTCATGTAAATATCTGATATGCAGGATGGTCTTAGGTGACCCCTGTGAAAGGGTCGTTCGACCGCCAAAGGGGTCGTGACCCACAGGTTGAGAACCGCTGCCCTAAGGGAACTTTACAATTAGATTCCCAGGTGCTCTAAGTCCCACACACACCACACTGACATTTAGTAGTCAAGGCCGATAAGGCACCACCTTACATTTTGATGGCTGCCATTACCTTTTCTCTAGATGAAATCATGACTTTTTTCTATTTTCTCAGAAAAACTGATGTAATCAAGAGTTAAAGAAGAGATAGTCTTGGGAGGATGTGTATTTCCAGACTGCTCCAAGCTGTCCAAAACCAACTGACCAAAGCCTTTGATTAGGGGGAGAGCAAAAGACAAATTATTTCTTTACTTCCAGACAGCATGTTAACAAATGAAAGTATAATTTGGTGGTGCGTAGAATGTTTAACCCTTTACATGAAAAGTGTTTTGTTCCTAAGAGTGGGACCCTTCTCAACAGATGTGTTCATAGGGCCCTTTGCAGCCAGCCCCCGTGAGAGAAAGTGCCCATGTCTCCAGCTAATCTCTTTCCAAACCTCCTCATTCACTGTGCTGTAGTCACATGAGCTTGATTGCTTATTTCTTTCTTTCTTTCTTTCTTTCTTTATTTATAAGAATAGTTTATTGATTTTTAAAGAGAGAGAGGGAGAAGAGAGAAACATCAATGTGCAACACACATCAGCTGCCTCCTGCATGTTGTCTTGAATTTAAAAGAAAAACACTGTAGTTTGAACAAAAATGGATAAGCCATGTTAATCTCACCCTATTTGGGAAACCCAGTAGACAATGATCAACAATATTATTGGCCTATATAACTTTTTTTTCAGAGGTGCTACTAATCTTCTAAAGTTTTATAGCTACATGCCAAAACTTTGCCTTCAAAAACAAGCACTCTGGCCTTCTAGGCCACTACAGTGTGGGTAGCACTGAACCTCAAGTATGAATTAATTCAGAATTAATTCAAATTGAAATTACTACCCAGCCTTGTGAACTATTCATGTCAAAATGTTTCTGATATTAAGAAAGAAAATGTTTCTGGTGGCTAAAAGTATTCTTACCTTTTTTGTGTTGTTTAACTATCTTGGCAAAACCAAAAATTTAATTCATTTGTGGAAAAGGAACAGCATTGGAATTGATGAGATAAAAAAGTTCATCCTTCTAAAATAATTTTAATAATCAAAGTGGTTTGGTGACAATTTAGAATTCCAGTTGAAACTAGTAACACTCTCAAACAGATTTAGATTTGCACCTCCTTTTCTAAGGCAGAGGCCTTTTGCCCTAACCTCTCCCTTTCTTTTGCCCTTTTATTGATCTCTGTACTGCATCATTCTAAAAGTTAGTTCAGAATCCCTGATGGTTGTCTACATGTGGCACAGAAGTAGCAGAAGTAGCACACATGTGTTAAATCACATGGCCATTGATTTTCTCCACCTATTTACTTGCTCCACTCACCATCCTAGCTTCTTCTCTTAAAAGCCCCAGCTTGGCCCCAAGGGAAGCACTTAAAACCTCATATTTTCAGAGCCATGAACAAACAGATCTAATGGTGAAATCACACTGACTTTATTCCCCATGAAGGAAATAAAAATCCGTGTGCCTCCATAATTTGAAACCTTTGGGGGAACTTAAGAAATGCAAAGTTTTGATTACAAGATTTAAAAAAAAAAAAAGAGTTAATCATAAAATGCTTCCAAGTGAATTCATTTAAGTTCCAAATTAAATTTGCTGATTTTAAGTCCTATTCCCCTCTTTGTGACAGTTTTAGTGACCAACGTATTGGTTCATTTGTCAACCCAATGAGAAGTCTTAATGTATACAGGATTCATAAGGTTGAAACAGAATATACAATTCTAAAGTGTTCAGTTCATATTTAGGAGAGGGCTCTGCTATGACCAGAAAGATTGGGCCAATTTTAGTATAAAAAATTAAGACTAATTACCAATGAGGTTGACTATGCAGTCAAGACACTAACATCACAGACATGTTGGAACACCATGAAATATTGACAGAAAAATCATCCTGGAGCTTAAAAGGACTGACATGGTGAGATCTGGTCATTGCCTTCTGCAGTCAAGGGCCTCAAGCCTTGGAGAACCGCTGGGTCTTAAGGCATGTTGTAAAGATTGTTCTCAAAGTAAATATTTTCCTGTGCTTGATAGTGCACTGCAGTTCCATTTTGGGAAGTTCCGGTCCGAGGTTCTTTGCTACAAAAAGAATAACATGAGTAAGTGAAAAGCAGATCACTTCTAAATAATGTACTGGATCATGGTGTCAAAAATACTACTGTGTCTTTATGGTCAGAATGGGAAAGCCATGAATTAGATGACTTTCATAACATACTCACACACCAAGAATATAAAATAGTTATGTGTAGAGTTTTGATATAGCTGCTGATTTATGATTTGTACACAGTGATGGTTTTTATTACCTGAGCCTGCCCAGAAATTATATGAAATGTAGAGTCTTCACTCAACTCAGATCATTAAAGGAACCAGGCATACATGTGAGAATCAATTTAGGTGTCAACAGCTCAAAATGAGTCAGTGTGAAAGAGCTGCCCCAAAGGTGTCATTATAAATGCTCTCTTTGATTTTTTTCCCCTTTCTTTTTAATATTTTACAATAAATATATAATAAATATTTTCTTTAATAATTAACTGTTAAGAGGTGGATGTAAAAAAAAAAGTTGACAGTGAAAGGACAGAAATCATGCTTTTCTGCCTGTAAGGAGTATTTTTTTCCTTCCATTGTTGGAAGCACGTAGTCAAATCTTCTATAATATGGGTTCTGGACTCCAAAACACCTTAGATTGAGTCTTTTACCAGCTGTGTGGTGTGAACCCCGTTTTCCAGTCTACCAAGTGAGAATAACAGTACCTATGTCGCAGGTTTATTGCTATGCAGGAATGATTGCAATAATAGAAGCCAACGTTTATGGAGCACTTACAATGTGTTGGCTATTGTGCAAGGCAAAGTCTGTGGATTGGCTCATGGAACTAAGACATAGAAAAGATTGACATCCAACAAAACAGAACTAGGAATAATGAATGGCAGCCTCAGAGGGATGGCTGGTGAATCAAAGAAAGACCTTGCTTAAAGCCCTACCTGCACTAAAAGAAGCAGGCTACTTGGGATTGGTGGTAAGTACTGGTTTCATATCATTACCGTTGTCTGTTTAAATGACCACAGAAAGTGGATGAAAGTAAAGGAGATTTAAACTTTAACTGGACAATAAGTTATATTTATAAAAATTATACATCAAATGCCAATGAGGCTTGGTATGCAATGTAAAGCAGCAGAGCATGCTGGGTGTGGAACGACAGGGGATGGGGGACTGCTTCAGCCTGGAGTTGTCTTCCTCCAGATCTTTGTCAGGCAGCCTCCTACTCCATCAGGCTCACTCACACAGCCCACTACCCTCGTCTACATCCCCCATGCTATCTGCCTGGAAGCACTAAAAGGACCCTGGTGACTTGCTTCTATGTTGTGTCTGTTTTGTTCATCTCTTTGGAATAGAATAGGCTTTCAGTAAACAAAGCACTGAATGAAATCAAGAACAAACCAAACAACTCATCCAAATGTAATTTCCTCAAACACTATTGTGATTTAGTTCTCTTGCTCTGAGAGCTTAGGGTTGGGGTGCTGTTTCTGTAGTAGTTTCAGGGAAATAGAGAAAGCTAAAAATATCATTGGAAGGTGTGGACAGCGATGGAGGCACTCATTGAACTAGAATTTTTAGGATCCAGGGTGTAAAATGGAGAGTTCAGGCGAAAGAGGAGAGGAACAGAGAGGATTTTTTCTTTATTTTATTAGAGTATGAACATCAAAAACCATTGACACAAACCTTTCAAGCTTACCTTATTTGCAACACCATTCTTTTCCCACATAAATATTCTAAATTGGGAAGGAGTTAAAGAAAAAATAAAATACGTCAGCCAAAGAATTCATGAGACCTTTCCAAAACATGTACATTATTTCTGCTATAACTTCGTTTTTTAAATCCCTACCTGAGGATATGTTGGGATTTTCTTACTCATTTTAAAGATAAAGAGAGAAAGAAAGAAAGAAAGAAAGAGAGAATTTGATTTGAGAGAGAAAAATCAATAGATTGCCTCCTGAACGTGCCCTAACCAGAAATAGAACCTGAAACCTATGTATGTTCCCTGACCAGTAATTGAAACTGAAACCCTTTTGTGTACAGAACAATGCTCCAAACAATCGAGTCACTCCACCAGGGCTGCAATGACTCTAAATGAACAGAGTCTGAACAGAATGTGCTGAAAAAATTAAATCTAGAAGAATGGTTTTTTAAAAAGGAAAACAAAACTCAGATTACACTCTTCCCTATAGTTTCAGGTAACTCCTTTTGACTCTGTAGGACCCAAAGGAGCCCCGCTGTGTTAACTATCTCATGTTTATTAATGGTTTAGTGTATTCACACATGCCCAAACTTATTTTAATATAGTTACTAATGATTATATTTCACTAGAGGCCCGGTGCTCAAATTCGTACACAGGTGGGGTCCTTCTAGGTGGCCTGCAGGGATCAGGCCAAAACCCCCAGTCCAACTCTGCCTGCAGCTCCTAATTGCCACTCCCACATGCCACTCCCCGCTCATCCTGGCCCTGCTTTGCCTGCCGCAGGCTCGCACCCAATCGGTCCCGATAGGGAAAGGCTCACGCTGCCACAGCAGTGCTCACCAGCCATGAACCCTGCATCTGGCGCCCTCCCAAGGGGAGTGGCCTGCAGGATTGGGCTGAAATCAGCTCTCTGACATCCCCAGAGGGGTCCCGGATTGTGAGAGGGTGCAGGCCAGGCTGAGGGACCCCACAGGGAGGGATGGTGGATGGGCTCCAAGGCATGCCCAGCCCATCTCGCTCAGTCCTGATCAGCCGGACCCCAGCAGCAAGCTAACCTACCAGTCAGAACATCTGCCCCCTGGTGATCAGTGCATGACATAGTGAGCGGTTGAGCAGCCTTAGCATATCATTAGCATATTATGCTTTGATTAGTTGTTTGGTTGTTCTGCCATTCAGTCTTTTTGCATTTTACCCTGTTATTATATAGGATTTTTAAAAATGGATGGTTGTGGTTCTTTCATGGAGGCGGGCATGGCTAGTTTTTGAAACCCGTTGGTCTAGCCTTGCCTGAAATCTGTTTCCCCTCCAATGTCTCATTTGCCTCTTTAGCTAAGTGAGTGCTGTAAGACGCTCAACAATATTATCCTTCATGGGAGCAAAAATGGGGTCTTGAGGGCAAGGAAGGAAGAAGAGAGAACAAATCTGCTTAGTACAGCGGTTTGTTGCCTTCCAAACCCCAGCTCCACCCAACAAACTCTTATTTCTTAGTGTTTTATTTCTCCTGTGGAGAACTTAATTTCCTTTTTTCTTTACAGGCCAATATTTTTAAGAAACAAAAGGAACAAGGTTATGAAACAGGGAAGTTATGTGACGTCAAAAGTACATGGTGTGTGAAGCTCCTTGGACCCAGGTAGTTTGGCTCCAGAACCCTCACTTTGTTCCCTCAGGCACAATGGTCAGATGACTTACTTTTGGTAAGTATGGCAGCCAAAATGGTGAGCAATATCATGGCAGCACTGCAGAGTCCAATGTACAACTTACTGGTGTTCCTCGGTGTATTTTGTTTCAAGCTCGTGTGCTAAGGAAATATAAGCATATTGAAAAAGCATCTTGTTAGAATTATGGGCAGAAAACATTTCTTAAAATAACATACTCAGACACATTTATCTTTATTGGCTCTTGTCTTCTTCTAGATCAGTGGTTCTCAACCTTCCTAATGCCACGGCCCTTTAATATAATTCCTCATGTTGTGGTGACCCCCAATTTCATTGTTACAAATTAAACATAAAGCTTAATTCCCAAACACAACACTGAACCCCAGGGTGTTTTCAGGCCTCTGTAGGTGAAGAGCTGTGCATAGAATGTGAGGGCTCTGAAATAAGACAGAAATGATGAGTTGGGGCCTTTGGCAATACTGAAAGCCGCCAGCCAAACTACGAAGAAGCCCAAGTGTGTTTTTTCTAGGATACTCTATTTGAATTATTGTTCAGTCAGTTAACACAAGATACATTCTTAATAGCAATATGTAGGTGAGCTTAATAAAGTACTTGATCCCTTACTGTTGAGGATTGAGGTTGTTTTATAACATTTTCATGATTATAAATAGCAGCAATGAATATCTTTTCTCATATAACTTCATGTATTTGTCCAATTTTCTCCTTAATATATGTCCTAAAAGTTTACTTATTGGGTCAAAATACATGTTGCATGTTTTCAAGATACCAAGCAGACATGCTGACATCCTCAGAAATGAGGCACATACAGTCCATAATTCCGCTACAACCTGCTATGAACTTGCATCCAAATTGCTTCTACTTGCTGCTAAGCAAAACTGTCCTACAAGTAGCTGAGATCAAGAACAAGTTCACCATTCAGAATGTGTGTGTGTTTAATTCAGTACAAGTGTGGCCAAATAGCAATCGTTTCCATAGCGGCAGTTCTGATATCTAGGAGGCATATACAAATTCAGCCCACATCTATCAGATCAGAGTTTAGGCATATAAATTGTTAGCATTTTTCATGTTATGCCTATGTGGTATTCTAACTGTCACTAAGATATACAACATAGCCGAAACCGGTTTGGCTCAGTGGATAGAGCGTCGGCCTGCGGACTGAAAGGTCCCAGGTTCGATTCCGGTCAAGGGCATGTACCTGGGTTGCGGGCACATCCCCAGTGAGGGATGTGCAGGAGGCAGCTGATCAATGTTTCTCTCTCATCGATGTTTCTGGCTTTCTATCCCTCTCCCTTCCTCTCTGTAAAAAATCAATAAAATATATATATTAAAAAAAAAGATATACAACATAAACTCATTTGACCCTAAATAATCCCACTTTGCCTGAGTTTGAGTTTCTTTTATTACAGCTGGGTTGTCATTTCTCACCATTTGGATGAGGATTGTTCTCAGACCTCAAACTCTTTTGATAGTTGCTTCCAAGAGTTATTTAAACATGTAAAGGAAGGTGGTTTCTATCAGAGAGTCAAAAGAACAAGGTTCTATTGATAATTTAGCCTAACTTATTTGCAAAGGAGAGGCTTTCATGAGCATCATGAGACTAGGGATGACCCTATACTTGTTTCAAAATCACTGTGGAGAAGTAGAAGAACATCTTTCAAAATCACAAAGTTGTTTGAGACATTAACACCTAATAAGTCATCCTGCCCGGCTGGCATGGCTCAGTGTTTGAGCATCAACCTATGAACCAGGAGGTCACGGTTCAATCCCTAGGAAGGGCGCATGGCCAGTTTGTGGACTTGATCCCAATGTGGGGCATTCAGGAAGCAGCCAAACAATGATTCTCTCTCATCATTGTTGTTTCTAACTTTGTCTCCCCCTCCCTTTGTCACTGAAATCAATAAAAATATATTTTTAAAAATAATAAAAGTAAGTCACCCTATAGGGAGATTCAGGTAGAGAAAATCTCAGCGTTGGCCTCAAAATTTCTATATGGAAGGCATTCAGGTTGGAAAAGGATATTGGGGGGCATATGTCAAAGCAAGTACACTTTCACTTACATAATATTTTTGTTTGGAACAGCCTCCATGCCAGCACAGTGACTCAAAGCATGTTTTCCCCTTAATGTTAACTGAAGTCTTCCTGGGAATGTTATGTTAGCTCACTCTTCTTGAATTAGTTCATTCTTTTTTGTTCAAATTTTTGGCCAGGAGAAAGTCTATAGTGTGTGAGTGTTGTGTGTATGTGTGTGAGTAAAACATCATTTATCCGGCATCTCTAACAAGCTGGTCTACCTGTATCCAAATGAACTTTACCAATTAATCAAAGGACCCCTATTTAAGAAACAAATTCTTTTCTTCTTTGTCTCTTAACCTGAAAGAATTAATCTGAGGGACAGCCTTACAGAAGTAATCTCTGAATATAACATGATTCCAGAGAGACATACAAGTGAATATGGCTAATAAAATAAGAAGGAATTTGCTTACAGTTACATTGTATTGCCAACCGCAATCCGAAGGCTGGGTCACAGTGCTATTCCCATCTGTTCAACAAAAAGAAAACCAGTTAGAATTATAAAAAATATGGAATTTTCACTACTAACATGAAATATATGTGCATTGCTTCCTGGCTATAAATGAAATGATGAATAAAAAAAATGTAGCCAAAAAATATATCTATGGCCAAATGCAGCAGGCATTGCAAGAATTAAACCAAATTACTAGCATTTATTAATCTATCCTGTAAGGTGTGATCCTTAACAATTTTTTCATGGGCCCTGTGAAAATGGACCACTTTTTCCTTCTTTAAGGGCCAAAAATTACATTATATATAAGGTTTTACCTATCATTTTAGGAGTACAGAGGTCATTCTTGGAACCAGGTTAAAAGTGCCAACTGCATGTATTCTGGACACCTAAGCAATAGTCATAGTTGCTATTGTATTTATCACTTACCCCCCTATACCTATGTCCTAAGCTCTTCGTCTCATTTAATCCTCACAAGGATTCTGCATGATCAGTGATGTTCCATCCATTTAGAAATGATGAAATCAGATTCAGAGAGGATAAGACATTTGTTTCAGTCACATAGCAGATTAGAGGGGCTAGTGTGGGCACTCTGTCACAATATGTGCTCTTAACTACATGTCAATGATTTTCAGATTTTGAATGCAGGTTTTCAGGAAATAAAATTAAGTTACCTGTTGGACAAGAAGAGTTCAACAATGAGCTGGTCGTACTTGTTTCCTGTGGTGTGATAGGTGGGGTTTCTGTTGTCTGCAGTGGAGAAGATGAAATGGTTTCTGAAATAAAAAGGATGCAAGAACTCTGTTCTATTTGTAGAGAAAAATCTCCAGCCCCAACAAAAATAGGCAACAAACCTAAAATTGGGAACTACCTTCAACTCTTTCTTAGAAATTTATTCAAATATAATATTGAGACATTACACTTCTATCTAGGTATTTTATTATCAGGAGTAAATCTGATATAGATAATGTTTTAGATAGTTATCTATAGACAGAATTATTTCACACTTTTCATACTCCTAAGATCTCTCTAACTGCTTAATGCCTATGACAGTGCATCTTGTGCAAGACACCCGATTAAGCTTTTATCCATACAAATGACATTTTATGTTCATAGAACAGGGCCTGGGGAAAACATTATTCTGTTGTTCCATTTTTCACAAGAACCCCAATCTGGATTTTCTGACATTTAGGTTCATGATTATCCACACATCTTTCCAGAGAGACGCACATATGTACCAGCACGGGATACACCCTCACAATATTTAACTCCTTGAAGTTTCTTCAAGGTGACTGCATTCATTGCCCAATCTCTCAACTTGGTAATGATTCACAACCCTCGGCCAGGTTCCTGGTAGACCGTGACCCCGGCTCCTTCTGCAGTTGCATTCTGCTCACTCCTTCTGAATGACTGATTTCCTGTGTTATCTGACTCATCTTCCATTTCTCACCAAAAAGTTTCACTAAGAATTCACAAGCACACCACTACGCATCACTTGCCTCCTTATAAAATCTTCATATTCCCTCCCCAGAGAGCACCACAGAATTTAGAGCAAATCAGTGGTGTTGGCTGGGCAAGAATTTGCAAACCTGGGCTTTCCTTATTGCCTTTCATCAGTCTTCCTGATTCCTCTTTCCCACCACCATCTTCACATTTCAACATCATCCTTTCTTATGTTTTACTCCAAGACTGAACCCTGTAACAGGATGTGGGGACGTGGCTCTCTTTAGGAACAAAGAACAGGACAGTACAAGAAAGTCAGATGATCAGTCTATCCAACTTCGGTCTGTGCAAAAGGCTCCTGATCTTAACTTCTTCCCCAAGTTTGATTTCTTGTGGGCATCTTTCTTTGCTCCCCTCCTCCTATAATCTTACATCCAACCATTTCATGCATATTTTAGGAAACGAACATGTGCTGGAGGCACTGAGGACAGGCAGGAAGTGGATGTAATAGTACATTGAATTAGCTCCAGTGCTCACCTCACTCCTGTACTGTGAAGCTCAACTCTAGACTCCAACTCCTTAGGAAATGACCAGGATAAACATAAGGCTCAATTCTATTAATAATACAATTATTATTCCCCAGGAGGTCACACAGATCTTTTCTGAATCTCTACTTTAAATGAAGTAAAAAACTTACATATGTTCACTAAACCAAGCCACTAATCCTCACACTTTTACAGGCACACACTATGTCAAATTAAGTATAAAGAAGCTAAATAAATATTAAGAGAGTTGCCGAAACCGATTTGGCTCAGTGGATAGAGCGTCAGCCTACGGACTGAAAGGTCCGGGGTTCGATTCCGGTCAAGGGCATGTACCTTGGTTGCGGGCACATCCCCAGTGGGAGATGTGCAGGAGGCAGCTGATGGATGTTTCTCTCTCATCGATGTTTCTAACTATCTCTCTCCCTTCCTCTCTGTAAAAAATCAATAAAATATATTAAAAAAAAAAAGAAAGAAAGAAAGTCAACAGATTCTCTAGTATGTTCAGCTGCCTGGAACAAAGCTTTTACTCTTATATACTTTTATGGCTCTAAAACAGCCATAAACTACAGCCCCCGGGCTGCATCCGGCCCATTTGAAATGAATAAAACTATTTAAAAAAAAAGACCGTACCCTTTTATGTAATGATGTTTACTTTGAATTTATATTAGTTCACACAAACACTCCATCCATGCTTTTGTTCCGGCCCTCCAGTCCAGCTTAAGAACCCATTGTGGCCCTCGAGTCAAAAAGTTTGCCCACCCCTGCTCTAGTCCATTATGATCAGTGTCCTT